GATCTCTTGACGTTGTGATCCACCCGCCTCGGCCTCCCAAAGTGCTGGGATTACAGGCGTGAGCCACCACGCCCAGCCTCTCTCTCTCTCTTTTTTTTTTTTTGAGATGGAATTTCACTCTTGTTGCCTAGGCCAGAGTGCAATGGCACGATCTCAGCTCACTGCAACCTCCACCTCCCAGGTTCAAGTGATTCTTCTGCCTCAGCCTCCCAAGTAGCTGGGATTACAGGCATGCATCACCACGCCCAGCTAATTTTGTATTTTCAGTAGAGATGGGCTTTCACCATGTTGGTCAGGCTGGTCTCAAACTCCTGACCTCAGGCAATCCACCCGCCTCGGCCTCCCAAAGTGCTGGGATTACAGGCGTGAGCCACCGCGCCCAGCCAATACCCACTTCTCTTAATGCTCCATGGGTTCCAAATTACGTTGTGCAGCATTCTGGTTCCTTTACATTCTGATCAGTCACTCTGCAATGACTCATCACAATTCTCACTTTACCATTGAGGAAACTGAGGCCCAGAAGAGGGGAGTGGCTTGCCCAAGGTCACACGGCAAGTTAGTGGTAGAGCTGGGACTAGAATCACATTTGAAATCACACGCTTTCCTCTCTTTCCACGGGAAGAGCGTCAGGGTCCCCAAGGCAAGGCCCTGCTCTGCTCTGTCCCAGCACCTGCACAAAGACGGTAAAGAAGATGACAGTGATGATGGCAGTGAGGAACAGGTCACACATAGGGAAGTGCTTCTTATCCAGGAGGTAGCCCAGAGAAAAGGCGATGGCCCCTCGCAGGCCCCCATAGGCGATGATGAACTGGTCCTTGGGGGTCAGCTTCACGATGCGGAACTTGTTGATAAACCAGGTCAGGCCCAGCACGCCTGCAGGGGAGGGCAGCGGGGGTAAGGGTCAGGTCCAGCTGTGCCCAGCCCCTCCTGGCGTCCGCACCAGTGATTTCTCTGCATATCCAGGAAGTCTCCACTACTAAGCCCACCCTGCTCACTCAATTCCTGGGTCCCTCAGCCCAGAGTGCCCTGAACTCCTCAATCCAAGAGCTGGCAGGATCCTGAAGGGGCTTGCCCAGCCTGGATGTGCTTCAGAGACATCAGGGGCCTCCAGTGGATGGAGGGTGGGGACAGGAAGACGGGGGGGAAAGATCAAACAAGATGGGTCACTTATGTGATGGGTATGTGGGGGTCATTATCCTATTCACTCTACTTTTCTAAGTACTTGAAATTTTCCATAATAAAGCATAAAAAATGTGGAGGGCTGGGCCCAACCTCCACCCACAGAACCAGAATCCCTGGAGGATGAGGCTCAGGAACAAATGGGATTTCAAAAGTGCACCAAGTCAATGCAAGGTCTGGCCAGGCTCGGAGACACAGACCTAACTCAGAGAGGAAGTGAGAGATCCAGGCATGGGGCAGCTGAGGCCCTGGGGTGAGGTGTGTTGGGCACACGTGAGTGGGACCCGTGCACCTGGGGTCCAGTCCCCATGTGTGCCCCAGCCTACTGCACAGGTTTGGAGGACTGCATGCGCCTCTGCACGTGCTCACATCACTTGTGCTTGAGACTGTGCAGAGAGCACTCAGCTCAGAGTCACAGACTTGGGTTCTGTGGGCCTCAGGCCCCTCCTCAGGACAACCACAGGCTCAGAGTCAGAGGGTCTCAGGGCCCCCTCACTCTCACACAGCATGACTGTCTGCAGAGACCACAGCCTGGCTCTGACATAGGCTGCTTCCTCCCTGCTCAAGGGCCCATCATGGAAAGGAGAAGCCTCTCCTGTCCAGCTGTGCTGGGAGCAGGTAGGAGCCAACCAGGGCGCTTCCATTACAAACTGCATCACACACACACACAGCCCCTCCACACACAC